CATGTTAAGCCTGCTTCATCTGTCCGTAATCTTGGTGTCTTATTTTACTCATCTCTATTTTTGTCTCTCATATTTCTTCTGTTGTTAAAACCTCTTTTTCCATCTTCGTAATATTGCACGTCTTCGATCTTCTCTAACTCTAGCTGATGCTGAAATCTTAATTTATGCATTAATCACATCACGTCTGGATTATTGCAATGCTCTATTTCTTGGTCTGCCTAAAAAACTTATTGCAAGGTTACAGTATGTTCAAAACTCAGCAGCAAGAGTTCTCACCTCCACCAGGCGTTCTGCTCACATTACTCCTCTACTGCATGATCTTCACTGGCTACCTGTGGCATCACGAATTCACTTTAAGATATTACTTCTAACATTTAAGGCATTAAACGGTCTTGCGCCTCCATATCTGTCTGACCTACTGTACTCCTATTCTCCTGCCTGGTCTCTCAGATCATCTGAGCTTGGTCTTTTGTCCATTCCTCGTTTTCGGCTATCCACTATAGGTGGTAGGTCATTTAGTGTTAATGCTCCGAAATTATGGAATTCGCTACCCCTTACACTTCGTAATATACCATCTTTGTCTACATTCAAGACTCAGCTAAAAACGTATCTTTTTAATATGTATTTTGGATAATGTGGCTATATGTGGCCTTATGTGTTTGTATTGTGTATATGGGTGTGCAAATGTTTTGTTTAGCACTATGTAAAGTAACCTTGAGCTATGGAAAGGCACTATATAAATAAAACTTCTTCTTCTTCTTTGTATGTGTTTTTATTAATTGTATGTTAATAAAGTGATTTTTGTTTATATCTGTCTATCCTTATGCTCACCCTGCCTTTGGCAACGAACCTGTGTCCCTTTGCTTAGGGCTGTTATGTCCCGGTGTATTCCGGGTGGCGTAGTCGACTAAAGGATTTCTCTTATTATTGGTAATTTTCAAACTCCTGACCACTTACTGCCACACACGTATTCCCAACTTCTGAGCCTGCTCTCCTGAAGTTATGGTTGATTGCTCTTCAGCTGGATATCAACACACCCATTAACGTACACACCTCACACATCGGATGCCGTGCGCGCGCTCAAAGCAGTTGGACATAGTGGTGTATTAGAGGTAAAATATGATATAAATACTGTTCGGTTTCTCGCACAAACCGATCGTTTCGTGTCTTAGGACATCAATGTGTCGTCACGAGCCGCAGGGTTTAATTTGGATTTGTCTGTGCATGTTTTTTTTAAACTCATAGATTTTGTTACCATTGCCATGCATTATACGACTGATAGACTGCAACGGCTGGAGTTAAAAATCTCTGTTTGTGTTCTACTGAAGAAACAAATTCACCTACATCTTGGATGCCCTCGGGGTAAGCAGATAAACATAAAATTTTCATTTTTGGGTGAACTATCCCTTTAATGATGGGAAAACGGTCGGCGCACCCGGGTGCATGGTCTAAACGGGTTGTCCCTATTCTCTTAATGAGTAATGGGTGTTTTTTGGGCGTGCAATAAACCAATCAGAGTCTCATCTCCTATTCCCTTTAAGAGGCAGTTGTGCTCGCGTCATGGCGGGTTTGCTATTTACATGCCGGAATTTAATTTTTAATTATGTTTGTGTGATGCTGCGCGTCCCTGTGTGTGTAATAAGCAAAGTGTACACGCATTGTGCACCCGTCTATAGGCGCATATTACTAACGCACTCTTTAAATAACAAAGAAAAATATTGCGCTAGACTTTAGACCAGGGGCTCTATTATACACCCGGCGCAAGGCGCAGCGCAAGTGTTTTGCTAGTTTCAGTCCGACGCAGTTCTCATTTTACCATCCTGTGCCGTGTTGTTTAAATAGCAAATGCATTTGCGCCCATTTGTGCGCCCATTGGCGTGCTGGTCTAAAAAAGAGGTGTGTTGTTGCTATTTTGAGGATCTGAAAATAGACTGCGCCATAGACCAACTCAAACCTGGTCTAAAGTCTGGCACAATATTTTGTCTGGTAACACTTTACTTGAAGGGGTGTGCATAAGACTGACATGACACCTTCATAATCATGACATGACACATGTCATGAATATGAAGGAGGTTGTATGCATGTTTATGACAACTGTCATTAAGTGTCATTCGCTCAGTTATGTCATTTTTAATGCAAATATGACATTATTTGACCTAACCCTAACCTAACCTTACCCCTACCCTTACCCCACCATGTGCCCGGGCGCGCCAACCGTTTTCCCGTCGTTAAACTAGCAAAAGTGGATTCGGACACGCCCTGAGTGCACCTGCGCCATGCGCTTAAGACCATGCGCTTAGATCGTTAAAATAGGGCCCCAGGTTTTTGTTTT